CATTCAATTTAGTCGGGTGACTGTTCCAATTGTTTGTCGGTCTTCTCTGCAATAATCTAAATGTAAACATTAATAAATGTGAACTCATCCTGATGTCATGAGAAATAGGAAGATCACACTTGTCTCTCTGGCAACAATAAGTTGATACAGCATGTGTGGAGTAATTATAATAGTCATCTATATTTGTATGTCTTAACCAATCAGAACTGTGCATTATATTTTTCTGCTCCCTAAAATATTGTGCATTCATTCTATATTTGCAATTCACATAACCTAATATGCAGAGATGCTATGCAAAACCTCAAAATTACGGCACGTTGTAACTTGTACATGTAACAATACTTAGACAGATCGATGTATAATAATATGATTCATAATAACTATTTCAACTTTCATCAACTACAATTTGTGAATTGAAATTCATTATTAGTACACAGCAATGTTCGGTGACTTTAAAATACTGTTATTTATGTTTTACAGTGTTCGGAGCAGACGCAGAGATAACATGGGAGGATGTATTCAATCCACTTGAGATTGGCGGGTCTAAACTGTCCTATGCTTGGAGTGTTGTCAACCATCTTATGAGTGTAAAAAACAGTGATGAATTGAGGAGTGCTTACCAACAAATACAACCACTGGTTATAGAGACTTCAACTAAACTAGCACAAAGCAGAGTTATATACGATGCTATTAAGGTAGGTCAACACTACATTCATTTTAGATGATTCAGTATACAACAAATGTTATTTTCTGTTTATATGAACTTCTATTGGACATCCACTGTTAATAGAGCAAATACGCATTTGCTTGACTTTGAGTGTATCTCCGATAGAAGTACATGTGTAGCAATAGTTCCATTGTATTGTATGCCAAAAATGTAACTTATTTAAACCATAGACACAGCTTACATAAGCACAGAGGCTACTAATATGCTAAATGTAAAATAAGGCTCAGGAAAATGTACACAACTACTGATGGTTTTAGAGTTCATGTCAGAATTTTTTATTTTCATGATAAAACAAAATAAAAGCACAATTTTAAAGAACAAAACAATCAGAAATTGTTTCTCTTTTTCTAAGCATAACGCATATCATAGATTTAAGCAACAGATTAAATGAGACAAATTGTCCGTGCACATGGCAGTGACTCTTAGTTAGTGTGATTTTGTTCCAAACGAATCAAGTAATCCTGACATTTCTAACAGTGAAAACTAAACAGCCTTTTGTACTATTTATTTATCAATGTTGTGTATTCATGTTATAGCGATTAAACCAAAGTAAAAGAAAATTAGATGAAGCCCAGTATAGAATTATCAACTCAAGTTTATTAGCAGCTCAACTTGGTGGGGTGGAACTTACTGGAGAAAAGAAAGAACAATTTAACAACAACAGACTTCAAATGGCTAAGTTAAGCATGGACTTCAGGTAAGGAGCATACTATTTTGGGGGGGGGGTAAGACAGGTCACATGTTCATGAGATGGATGTACAGGGTACATAGAGTTGGGAAAATTCTTTGAAAGTCTTTGGATTTTTTCAAGTCTGGAAAGTCTTTGAGTTGTCTCTAAACTACAGGAAAAATTTTTGAAATGTCTTTAAATTTCTTCACAGTTATTAATTCATTTTTGAAAGGCCTGTTTTCTCCAGGAAACTACACTATCCTCAGAACTTTGATGAGCTTTGGTGATGATGTTGGTTTCAATTAAGGGTCAAAATGTCTTGGGAGAAATGCAAGAAAGTTTGGGAAAAGGTCTGGAAAAGTCTTGGAAATCATTTGACTCTTGGTGCTATGGACCCTGAATGTATTTTCCATCAGAGTCTGGTTCTCATATTTTCTTGTTGGGACAATTCCGCTGGTTATTTATTATAGTTGTATTGTCGGCAAAATTTTGTTTCAGTCCTTTGACATGTTAGAGTGAAGTGATTTTCACCTGCGCACACAGAAATTGAGTCTGAGCGGCAATAACAACACATGTTAAAACTGCAAAGGCTCATGGGTAGATGCTTCTTGTAAACAATAACATCCTATGGACATCTGCAACATGCACAGGTGACGATTAATTGATTCCACTGCTTTAATTGTTATGTGTACTGTAATAAATACACAGCTACGATATCTGCCTTGACAACAGCTGAACATTACCAAGCCCTTTCTATAGCTATGGTTGTAATTAAGTTTTCAGTATTTAAGGATGTCATTTAGTTATAGAATTGCATGTAGGGCAATTAACTATGATCAAGATGGTCTACATTACAAAATCAATATTTGATGTGAAGCACTTTCTTCCAAGTCTGAATTATACATGTACATCAGACTATTGAGTTGTTTCCTGGATGAGCAATTAGAACCCTCCTATTGGATTTATATGATGACTCTTATGTTACTACTGTGCCTATGTGAACATTATGTGCTGCCTAGATTAGTTATGTTTAGTTCCCACAAAAAGTTGAATTTGTGCAGCATTGCATGACGAGATTTATTGTAGTGAAGACATTTACATAACTCAGTCGATACAGCATAATGCATCAGGTTTCAACCAGTATAATTGCAGTGCAATGCAGTGACCTTAAGATTTGATTTTGGGTACACTTTAACCAATACTCAAATAACAATACAACTTTAACGCAGTGTTTTGATTTGTTTTTCAGTAACAATTTACTTGATTCTATCAAATCTTTCAATATTATACTAACTGATAAGAAGGATGTTGATGGGTTGCCATCATCACTACTACAGTTAATGGCATTAAATGCACAGCAAGATAAAACTAAGTAAGTGGAAAGTGATATTTTTAAATGCAGAAAATATTTTTTTTGTTAATTTAAAATAATCTCTATAATTTTATTCTATAATTTTGTTCATGTATCAACTCTTAGCGTATGCGCAATATTTTGCCAATGTTTTAAGGTTATATTACATATTAATCGAAAAAAATGTAATTTAGCAAAAATCAAATAAAAAATCATCAATATCAGTATGTAGTTATTTGTTATAGTTAAGGTGTCTACTTTAAGAAATAGAAAACATAATTCATCTACCGTATTTGTTCTATTAGTAGCACGTGCACTTAAGTGTGTATTTATGGGCAAAATAACTAATATTTTAATGATATCATACAACACATGTAATGCTAATATTAAATCAGTATTTATAACAGTAACATTTTATTTTTCCACTTTTATTACTGCCGTTTTATATAATTCTCCACAAACTAAGAACATTGTACTTTAAACTTCTTCCAAGTAATCATTCATTGAAACAATTAAAGTCCCTATTTAGCATATGCACGTATTCTTTCGCTATGTACAATAACAATCCTCGCACATGCATATTATGTTGTTTTTTCTTCATTGAATGAATACAGCAATAGCAAAATTTTAGTTCACAATAAATCATAATATAATTTGGTGCTCAACTAATTTTATTGAAATTATTTTTTTGTTTTTAATTAAATAAAAATTGTTTGATTTGATTTTATTTTGATCGATTATTTATTTATTGATAGTTTTTGAAGTTTTGGCGATTCCCAAAACAGCAAAAAAATACAAAATAATTATAAAAAAAATATTAAAAATAAAATAAAAGCATATAAAATAAAAACACACAACACACCTTGTAAAATAAAACAGATTGGTTCTCAAGATGCCACATTAAAAAACAATTATATAAAAAAAAATGTTTCTCTGTCTAGTGTCTTTACAGTTTTAATTTATGCTAAATTGATATGTACATAACATTCCTATGAAATTTATTGATATGTGTTCTAGTGTTAATGCTGATACTGGTCCATGGAAATTAACTCTAGATATACCTTGCTATGAACCATTTATGAAACACAGTAAACAACGAGAATTAAGACAACGATTGTACATGGCGTTTATCACTAAAGCTTCATATGGACAGTATGATAACAGTGATATGATTGAAAATATCAGAAATTTGAGGTCAGTATCTCTAAATATTTAATTTTCACTTTTACAAAAGTTACAAATATTTATTTTTAAATTTCAGGATTTTATGACGTTTATGAAGACTTGGGGTCTTCAGAGAAATTTTTCTTGCTACAATGAAATTTAATACGATTTCCACTGATTTGTGAAATTTATAAAAATTTACTCTTACTCTGTATCTTGTATGCGGTATACCTGTCAATTCATTTGATGTGATTTTTAGGGCAATGTATTACTAGTTTTGCTATGGTTGTTGGTTACTATTACAGGCAGGAGAATGCCAAGATTCTGGGATTTAAAAACTTTGCAGATAAATCACTGAAATCTAAAATGGCGCAAGATGTGACTGAAGTTATGACGTTAATCCGGAATTTGAAACTGAAAAGTAAAAGTGCTGCAACTCAGTAAGTCAAATCAATATTAATATCGTGACGAGGTCTGAAACTTGGGACTATGAGTTTGGGTTCCATCTCTCCATTCGTCCAGAGAAATTTCTTGATCACATTCAAACTCAAAGTTTTTGTCAACACTGTAGGTTTATGTATATTTTAGCTAGTCTGTAATTTCTCAAATTTAAAATGTAGCTAATTTAAAAGAAATTATCAAAATGTGATAGCTGGCACTATAGCTAAATTAAGATTCTATTAATTTATGCATTTAATCAAATTTGATAAAATGATGTGTATTTCAATGTGTTTTACAGTATATATACGCATTAGCTCACTGTGCTATCAAATATTATATATTAAATATAGTCCACATTCTATTTATATCTATTTTAGGGAACTCCATGATCTAAAAGAGTTTGCAAACAGTAATGGTTTCCATGGTGATTTATCTCATTGGGATTTACCATACTGGTCTGAGAGACGAAGAGAACAGTTATTCAAGTGAATATATCATGTTCACAGTGTCATTTGCGCATAATTAGTTCACAGTGTCATTTGTGCATAATTAGTTCACTGTGTCATTTGCGCATAATTAGTGACAACAATGAATAAACTCTGTACAGTCTGTTGTATGCCCGTCATCCAATCTTGTGTCCAGGCATTTCATAGCTCTCAATTTTCTTCTTCGGTGTTTTAAAAAACCGAAAGAGAAAAATTATTTTTGAAATATATCAGATTCTGTATTTTCTATTATTGAAATTTTCTGCAAATCTACAAGTTGATATTTATATTACAGTAACTTGGTGTTAATTGAACACATATATTGTCATTTGTTTGAATTCCCAGTGCCTATTTGTCTTGAAGCCTTAATAATGAAATATTTGCATAATATACATGATTAATACAATATTATGTGATTTAAAATAAACAAAATGTTTATTGCAGCTTTAGTGAGGAAGAATTAAGGCCATATTTTCCACTGGGTAGAGTTCTACAGGGATTGTTCAGCTTGACATCATTTTTGTTTGGTGTTAAAATTAAGGTAAGATTAAGTATCTTGACTTAGAATAATCCACACATATTAATCCGCTGATTTAGAGTGATCCCTTAATGTGTATTCATAACTGTTTTCTCAAAAGGATTAATATTTAGTAAACACATTCCAGACCTCATTAGTTTTGGCTCAGTCCTTCTATCATAGAGAGACTGTCATTTTAGATATAAATATATGCATATTAATAAGCTAAATTGCAAACTATTAATTAATTTTTTTTTTTTTGAGTCATGACTTCTTAACTATAAACTTACTGATTATGTGTACAGTGTAGTTGAATGTTTGATAATATTTTACAATCTGCATATTTTTAAATACCGTAGTATTTAAAAATACCATAGTATGTAATATTTAAAAAAAAGAATTGTATCATTTTAATAGCAAGTGTGTCTTAAAGGGCAGTACTAGTGAGTGTCCAAATGCTGCATTGTATATGAAATAAATTTCATTATTATACATCTGTCACCGTAACGCCATAGGTTACAGTAATTTTGCGGTATTTTACAGGGTATTTTCATCCTACTGTATTAGAAAACGCAAATTTCAAATATGGAATGATTACGCGCGTAAGTGTCCTCTAATAATAAAAACAAACATAGCTGCCACCAGGGTTTGACTGGACTTCACACAAAGAAGTTTGCTGATTCTGTTCTAAATTTTTTGGATTTCGGTATTCCCATGATGTATCCTTGAAAGGAAAAGACGTATATTAAGGTTATTACGAGTATACCTCAAAGTATGCACTCAGACAGTACGCCGTTGCATCGACCTCTGCTGCTCGTCGGTCGATACTGCCGCTGTACTGTCTTCGTGCATACTTTGAGGTATCTTCGTAATAATCTTATAGTATTTAAATGTATGACGCATGGCGACTTAAAGTTGATCAACACTTGTTTAAATTTTGCCTCATAAGTTTTTACAATTCTGTTTAATCTTGTTCCAATTTTTGTAAGTGAAATTTTAGCCTCCAATATTTAAAACAAAATTTAAATGTATTTCATGACAAAAATATGTAACTGTTTTTGGAATTAACTTGTTATCAATATTTTCGGTGTATACAAGAATGGATTCATAGTGAGCATGCAGCAGTGGAGACAACATGTGAACATATATGCCAATCTACTAAAACTGAAAAAGTTCAGAAATTTTGTTTTAGCTTATTTTGATTCCAATTTAAATGCAATACTAGAAACATAAAAAATTCAATATGAATGCAACTTATAAGACTAATTATGAAAAAGTTTAGTTAACATCTGAATTGCTGGAACTGAGGACACATATTTAGTAAGATCTTTTGTTGTACAGCCCAGATAATATGGTAGTTGGTTGGGCATACTAGAGTATGTCTGTTATAAAATATTCATCAACAACAGCAAATAGCCTTAGTATCTGTTTACATGCTCTTTCTCAATACACACAATATAGTTTCACGTTTCTCACAACAGTACTTTTGTGTCTTGTGTCTTCAGCCTGCTGATGGTAAAGTTGAGATTTGGCATGAAGATGTAAGATTCTTTGATATTTTAAATGAACAAGGTATGTATAAATATAGCAGTAACATACTTTAATGAACATCATATGGATGTGTCACAAATGTAGTTGCAAGTTGAACAATGTGTTTGATATCATATGGGATACAGTCATTCATAATGTATAAGACATGACATTGATGGTGAGGAGGCTTTCATAGGTGTTCGGGACTGTACTTTAAAGACATACAGTTTTACCCATGGAGGTTTTTTTTTATTTCAGGAGATCATATTGCCTCATTTTATTTGGACCCATTTACAAGACCTGCAGAGAAAAGAGGAGGTGCCTGGATGGATACACAATTAGGTATGCATGGAGTGCCTGGATGGGTTTACAGTTAGGTATACATGGGGTGCCTGGATGGGTTTACAGTTAGGTATACATGGGGTGCCTGGATGGGTTTTCAGTTAGGTATACATGGGGTGCCTGGATTATACAGAGTTAGGTATGCATGGAGTGCCTGGATGGGTTAACAGTTAGGTATACATGGGGCGCTTGGATGGGTTTACAGTTAGGTATGCATGGAGTGCTTGGATGGGTTTACAGTTAGGTATACATGGGGTGCCTGGATGGGTTTACCAGTTAGGTATGCATGGAGTGCCTAGATGGGTTTACAGTTAGGTATGCATGGAGTGCCTGGATGGGTTTACAGTTAGGTATGCATGAAGTGCCTGGATGGGTTTACAATTAGTTATGCATGGAGTGCCTGGATGAGTTTACA